CTAGAAGCCAGGTGTGGTGGCACATGCCTGGGCTACATAGTGAATTCAAGGCCAGTCTGTGCTACACAGCAAGACTCAGTCTCCCCCCTCAAAAAAAATTACTCAACTTGCAAATAAAAAGGAAAATATGTGACTTTTTAAATTGAACTCAGGGCCTTCGCATTGACCTACTTCCCATCCCCACTTTTTTGTTTTAAAAGTGTCTCACCTAAATTGGTAAATTGCTGAGACTAGGCTCAAAATTGTCATCCTCTTTCCTCACCCTCCCAAAGTACTGGTATTACAGGTATGTGCCACCATGCCTGGGCCTACAGTCAATCTTTTTTATTACACTGCTTTGTGGGAAAGCTGGACCCAGAAAACTAGGGTTATCACTTCTGGAAGTCTTTAGGAATGCTGTTGAAGAAAGGGCAGAAACATTGCAGAAAAACCAGGCCATCTGACTAACTCACAAACCAGCTGAGAAAGCAGCTTAGTAAACCTCCCATCCAATACTAAGAAGTGAGCATCAAGTATCTAGCAGAACTTCTGGTTACTCTGCCAATAACAGGCCTAGACCTCTAGAGCAAAGGCCAAACACCAGCAGAGGTTTTGTTTGTGGTTTTTGTTTGGTCATTCTTTTGAGTACCACCTGCTATTTCCATCCACTTGCTGACCTGCATGAACCTTGCAGCATGAAAATCCTGGAAACGGAAGCACTAAGTGAAAATAAAGAACAAGGAAGGGGAGAACTAAGAGAGATGACCTCTCAGACAACCAGACACCCCCAGAAGTCTCACAGCATGGAGCTAACTTGTAAGAGAAAATGGAATCAAGCAGAATGAAGCTGAGCAGCCTGAGATGAACCTTAGGAAGCCTACAGGATAAAAAACCAGGTAGTTCCCCAGCACAAAAGAACACAGCCTTCAAACAGGGTTTTAAGTAAGCCCTCTACTGATAACTATATACTGCTCAGAACGTTTCACACCTACATTTAACTTTCAGATTTCCTCAAGAACTTACTCATAATTTTATGATGTCACTTGTTTTTCTCCAAATGCTATCCGAAAAAGTAAAAATCTAGAAAACTAGATTCAGTCACACACCTGTCACCTCAACACATACTTACCTTTCTTGAGAATTTTCTTTACTTTCACATAATTCCCCTGTTTGACATATTCATGAAGTTGAGCTTCCAGGGAGTCATTTTTTAAAGTACCAAGCCGAACAGGACAAGGGATTGAGAGACGAACGGCCCGAGACATCCTGTTCCAAAACAAAGAAACGGGCTTAACCTACAAAACCAAAAAAGCAGAACTTTCTCACTTTCAAGAGTCTGTGTACCATCATGAGAATAGCTCTCTGAACAGTTCAAAGAACTACATGCTCGCCACTTTCATATAAAACGGGACGGTAGCAACATAATTCTGTATATCTCTATGCATTTCAAGCCAGCCTGTATTTGTTACAGTAAGTGTAGCGCTAACAATTGTGACATGCTGTAGTACTTATATACTTTGTAAGGTTAAAAATCTCTCAGACAAAATAAGAACTACCACAATGACTTAGCCTTCTCTTAAATAACCCTAGATCAGGGGAGAGCGCGAACGCAGTCCCCCACTACCACAAATTATGCAGTCGAGTTTCCCACATTTGGGGAAATCGCAGGGGTCAGCACATCCGGAGTGCAATGGATAAGCCTCGCCCTGGGAAAACCACCTTCGTGATCATGGTATCTCCCCTGCCAGGTAAGTATGAGTTCCGCACCCTGCACGCCGCCTCACCCTCCTCAGCCACTCATCACACACTCAGGGTCACTACCCCGCCGCCTCCCTCACGCCCTCCTGTACACCCCCGACCCCCGACAAACCGCGCGCTGCTTCCCACCACGCCCCGCCCTTCACCCTCCTTTCTTCGGGACGCGCCCGAGAAATGCGGCCGCGGGAAGAACGCGCTGGAACCGGCAGCCACCGCGTGTCATCTACATGTCCCCGCCTCTTGAGGTGACGCCCACCGCAGGCGCGAGGCTTCTTTCAACACTGCTCTCCTGGAGGTACCGCGCGCGAGCCCGTTGGCAGGTGCAGCGGGAGCGAGCAGAGCGCGTTTTCCAGCACAGCTGTGAACTGCGCGCGGCGGCGCTGGGGCAACACGGCAGAGGGGAGCAGAGCGACTTGTGCCGGGTCTGAATCGCTGCCTCCCCCACGCACCGGGTCAACCCTCAGTCTCTCTCCATTTCCCAAAACGTAACGCGGGAATGATCCGCCCGCCAGCCGAGGTTTTGCGAGGGTAAACGCGCGCGCCCTGCGGCCCAGGGCCCCCAGCCCCAGCCAGACCCCGTTGGCCCTGAACTGCAGCCGCGCGCGGGGCAGCCGCTTTTGCCAGGATTCACATGGGCAGCTTCTGACGCCAAGAGGAACAGCGTCCGTCCCTCGCCTATTTGCTAACAAACCGAGAACTTGTCCTTTCTTCTTACAAATAGAGGACGCGGTGCGTTTTCCTTTCTGCCTTCTGGCTAATACTCTGGGCAGAATAGTTTCATTTGCAGCAACCGCACCTACTATCACATGTGCTGACTCTATTTCCCTTTTATTTTCTGTAATTTTCTTGGAAAAAAAAACTTTGTTTTTTTGAATATGTTTGGAGGATAGCTTTATCTTTTCTTTTTACAATAGTTACAAAAGTCACTTTAGATCATTCGTGAATGACAGAAAAGTTTCCAAAATGAAACTGGGGGTGGCACAGGCGTGTAATCTCAACTGCCTGAAAGACACAGGAAGATGACAGTTCAAGACTAACCTGGGACACTATGTGAGACCCTCTCAAAATTAAATATAACATAAAGCAGGGGGTGGAGACCGAAGCATAAAATCCTAGCACTCTGGAAGGCTGAGGCAAGGGAATCACAAATTCAAGCCCAGCTTGGGAGAACTTCACAAGATGCTGTGTCCAAAACAAAACAAAAGGACTCAGGATGTAGCTCAGTCAGAGTGTCCCTGGGTTCAATCCCTAGGGTAGCAAACAGCATGGTTTTGCTTTCCATTTAACAATTAAGGGCCAGGGAAATACGTCAGTGGCATAAGTACCTGCCTGGCAAGCGCAAGGTCCTGAGTTCAATTCCCAGTACCAAAACAAACAAACAAACAAACAAAAAACCCACAACAACAACAACAAAAAAAACAAGAGACAATCCTCCCACCAATTGCCAGTCACACCTATAGCATGTTGGGTTGTTTTCCCTGGGTTTTTATGCCATGTAGTGCAGGTTGATCTTGAACTCACTTTGTAGCCCAAGCTGGCTTCAAACTCAAGGTGATCCTCTTGCCTCAGTCTCCCCAGTTCTGGGATTACAGGGTATGCAACCACACCCAACTTTTTAAAGTTATGTTAAGACAAGGTGTCTATGTAGTTCAAACTGGCATGAACTCTGTGGCCCAGGTTGGCCTCAAACTTGCGGTAATCCTCCTGCCTCTGCCTCTGCCTCTACCTCTGCCTCTAGTGCTGGGATTACAGATATATGCCACCAGGCATGGCTCAAATTCTTCAGAAACTGTTGTGGGGGAGAAGCTGTCTGTATGTAGGACAAGGTCACTGCTTCTCGAGTTTGGCAGGGCCTCATGAGAAGTGTACAGCGCTCAGGGAGCTGACACATAAAGTGACTGGCCTTCCCCTGAGATAATACAGAAACTCCTCTCCTGTTCCCTGTATAACCACCAAGGCATGATTTTCTTTTTTTGTACTGGGAATCAAACTCAGGACCTTGTGCTTGTCAGGCATGCATTTATGCCACTGAGCTACATCCCCAGCCCAGCATGATGTTTTATTGAAGATTAGATGTTCTTCCTGCTCTAGACCTTACCCCCTGCTTAAAGTTCTCTGTAAACAGCCTCTTACACTGATTGTATAAGTAAAAGCCCTGCAGTGGTTGTACAGTCCTTTCTCCCCTCAAGAGAAGGGCTCCACTTGAAATCAGTCTTCTGCTCTTCGTATAAATAAACACATTGCAGTTGTTGGGCAGTTCTTTCTCCCATCAGGAGAAGGGGCTCCACGTGACCTCAGCTTTCTGACTTGTCTTCATTTCTTCATCCTCCACTGTCCTCTCTCTGGAATTTCAAAGCTGTGCTGGAGGTGGCATTAAACTACTGTCCTTGATTCATTTCCCTTTTCATTCTCCCCAAGTTGAGCTCTCTAATGTCAGAGTTCACAGCTAAAAAGAATTTAAGCCAAGCATGGTAGACCATGCCTCTTATCCCAGCTACTTGGGAGGCTGAATCAGGAGGAACAAAAGTTTGAGGTTAGCTCAGGCAATTTGGCAAGATCGTGTCTCAAGACACAAATTTTAAAAGGTCTGAAGATGTAGCTCGGTGGGAAAAAATATATATATATTCTTACAGTTTCTTAAGAATGAGAAAGGGCTGGGGATGTAGTTCATTAGTCTGCACAAGGCTCTGGGTTTGATCTGTAGTACAGGAGAGTAGGGGAAGAGAAAAGATAGGAATGAAAGAATTAGGGATAAACTATATGACATTGCGTGTAAAAACAGGTAACATGACATTGAACACATACTATGATCAAAACTCCTAAAAAGGAAAGGTTTAAAAAACTTGAAGGAGCTATACCAAATGCTCGCACAAACCTGTAATTCCAGCACTCTGGGAGACTGAGGAAGGAGGATCCCAAATTAGAGGCCAGCCTGTACAATTTAGCTGAGCTATGTCATCAAAAAAAAAGGAAAAAGAAAGAAAAGAAAGAAGGGTTGATGATGTAGTCCAGTGTGAATGCCTTCAGCTCAATCCTTAGTACCACAAACGTCTCCCAAAAAGCAAATGAATTTTTAGTATCAATATAGAACTGTAAACTCTTTTCTCTCTACATATTATGAAACATGGTTATTTTACCTGTAAAAACATTATAGGTTTTTATATGAGGAAAAACATTAATCCTAACTATACACATCTAGTGTCAAAAAAATGTTCATACCTTTTGACTCAGCAGTTTCCTTTCTAGAGAAATGAAACGCCCTTTGTGTTCATCATAGACAAATGGTAAAAAATAGAACACCCCAAACCCAAGATATCAAAACAATACAGAAACTGAGTGTCCTAGTTATTTTTCTCTCCTTGCTGAGACAAAACACCTGACACCCAAAGTTAAATGGGGAAAGTCTGTAGAGGTTGCAGTTCATAATTGGCTGGCTTCAAGGCAGGGTGGCTTGGCAGAGGGTGATCATAGAGAAGAACCAGTCATAGTAAGCAGAAGACAGCAAAAGCACGCAAGCAAGGAAAGACCACAGCTCTTTCTTGATGGAGGCCACTATGTAGCAGCTCTGAGCAAGATTTAATATTAACCAATCGGCTTTCCATGTTTACTTGTGAATCACTGGTCCCTACTGAGGCCTATAATGGTGGGTGAAGCCATGAGACCTCAAAGGAGAAGACAAGGTCACAGCTGAGGACATTTGGCTCCAACCCCAATTAACTAAAAGGAGACTATAGCTGTAGG